AAGAAGCAGTATGAGGTCAACTCACCTTATGATGCCAAAGAACAGATTTTTTAAAAATTATCCTAATACAATAAAAAAAAAATAGAGGTTTAGCCCATCGGAAAGGTTCAGCTTGTTCAATTGCACTAACTCACCAAAAGAAAAACAATAGATTCTGTTGATACTAGAAGATGATAGCACTAAGACATGGATCATGCTTGTGTAACCGGCATTTAATTTCTCTGCATGTGAAATTGTTGTCTTCAACTTACGACTGCAATTGCTACCAGAATTTCCATTGGTAAGAGATATGATCATAAAGTGTGACCATATCACTTAGTGACAGCAATCCCTGCAAACCCAATTGCCATCGTTAGACAAATTCCATAGTCATCCTGATGGCAACTACACCAGTGCAGAATCTGGCAGGAAATTGCAAATTCCAGAATACTCACAAGCAGATCAGCAGAGAGGTTATTGGCTGCTGCTGGGTAGGGGAAGGAGCATGATGAGGGTGCAACGGAGTCATGGTGAGGCTTGAGAAAAGAAGACAGGAGTGAAATGTGTACAGGTAGTCCTCGACCGATGAACACAATTCAGCCCAGAATTTATGTTGCTAAGTGAGAAATTTGTTAAGTGACTTTTGTCCCCTTTTACTACTTTTCTTTGTTAAGTGAATCACTGCAGTTGTTAAGTTAGTAACATGGTTGTTAAGTGAATCTGGCTTCCCCATCGATTTTGTTTGTCAGAAGGTTGCAAAAGGGGATCACATGACCCCAGGACACTGAAACTGTCATGAATACGAACCACTTGTCAAGCGTCAGAATGTAAATCATGTGACCATGGGGATGTTGCAACAGTCATAAGTGTGAAAAACAGTCATAAGTCACTTTTTTCGGTGCTGTTGTAACTTTGAACAGTCACTAAATGAACCGTTGTAAATCGAGGACTGCCTATACTTCCTTAAAGTAGAAACTGAATTTCAAAATGGGCTAAAAGATTTTCTTTTTAAGTTATTAATGCAGATTGATTTTGTTGTGGCCCATACGCGGTCTGTGCGGCTGGCGGCTGATTCGGACAGCGAGGAGGCTGGTGTGGTGCTGCGCTAGCAGCCTGTGCAGCTGGCACTCAAGTCGGACAATGAGGCTGGAGAAGATGTGGTGCCAGAGGCGGGGATTCAGCCAGGGCCTTCAGAACCTCCAGAAGCTCCCTTAAGTGAAGAGAACGAAGAGGAGGAGCCTCTTCTCAATGCACAGGCGCGCAGAGCAGCCAAAAGGCAGGAGTGGCTCCTCAGGAGGAGGTCTCCTCGAGAGTAAGGCTTGGGGCTAATTGGCCACTCCCTTAGCCTATTTAAGGAGGAACGCCGACTGAAGCAATTTACAGGGAACAACCATTCACACTCCTGCGTGCCTTGATCTTAGTTCTTTGTAAATTGCTTCTGGGCTTTCTGCCAACCATAGTAAGATTGAGATTATTTATTCTTTGGATTCTTGTAGGATGTTAAGAAAGTTAATTAACAGCCTTTGTTTGGAAAAAAAACTTATTTAATTTAGTAAACTAAGGTTTGTACAGACTTTGTGTGTGCTGCGTTCTTTGGTGTCCATAGCTGGGGCAGAACAGATTTCTATAATTCTTTCTGATTGCTTATGCCCTCCCTTCCCTTTCTTTGCTCCTCAACTCTGCTGTGCATCGTACACATACCAAAATTGAATTTGAACTCAAGAAATAGGATCTCCAAGTTAATCATCTGGATTTTGGAAACTATAATCCCAATGAATCTGGAGGATGTCAAGTTGGGAAGAGGCTTAAACAAGCTTTTCTCAGTGTGTGTGGGGGGGGGATTCTTTTGTTAGCTTTCGTGGAATCATCAGTTTGATTCCATAATCTATACGCTGTGTTTTTTTAAAAAACAGAGCCTTATCTTTCCAAATCCACTAAAACCTAACCACTACTGCCAAATTAGGAAACTCTTGGGCTTATTCCGTTTGTTCTTTGGGATGGGGGGGGGAGTAGAAACATTGTTTCAAAATGGGTGCTTAATTACACAGTAAATTAGCCAAGAAAAATATTTGTGCAACATTGTGCTGAGTCAACATATGGTTTGGAATAAACAACAGCCTCATTAGTTTGGCATCATGGTCTCTGTCATGGAAGTCATTAATAAAACTGGACTGCAACTGAAACATTGCAGCTTGCATTAGAAGATCCTGTGCCAATCCCTAAAAGGGTATTTTTCTTTGTCAGATATTCCAGGAAATACGGTTTCCAGCAAATATCATGAGTTGTGCTTCTGACCAAAGGAATGCTGTGCTGATTTGCTTGATTGAGTAACAGTAGCTTCTGCCCATCAGAAGATCAGAGATCGGTCAGTGTTTCTTTGAGCAAGAATGATATGCTTGCGGGGATGAGCAGTGCATCTCTGCTGGACCAAGTTCTCTCCAGTCAATCCAAGAAAAGGTATGCTTATCTTTAAAAGCATTCTGTGAAAAGGCAATACGCTCCGTCCAAAGCTGTGCCCTTGATGTCTATTTTTATTTGTAACTGGCCACATATTTCCAGAATCATGGGGCTTTCCACCATACAAAATAAGTTCTTGGATTGGGTAATTCCCTAATCTGATCCTGTAAAACCCTTTGGTAAAATAATACAATTCTATTGCAAAATGGTTTAAATGATGATAGGCCTGAAACAGCAGCTCATTATTTTTTTCTGCCTTCTGGAACCCTGTCCCTGATCTGATGTTGGCTCAAGATATATGGCACCTTTAGGCCACGTTGACTGGCATCGTCTGCCGTCAATTGAAGATTTACATTTTTAGAATGATTCTCAAAGAAGGGTACTGCAGGATCCTCTAAGCCGGAGTCCCCAACCCCCAGGCTATGGACCAATATTGGTCTGTGGCTTTTTAGGAACCTGACCGCACAGCTGCAGATCAGTGGTGAAATCCAAATTTTTTTACTACGATTCTGTGGGCATGGCTTGGTGGGTGTGGTGTGGCTTGGTGGGCGTGGCAGGGGAAGGATACTGCAAAATCCCCATTCCCTCCCCACTCTGGGGCCAGCCAGAGGTGGTATTTGCCGGTTCTCCAAACTACTCAAAATGTCCGCTACCGGTTCTCCGAACTGCTCAAACTTTCCGCTACTGGTTCTCCAGAACCTGTCAGAACCTGCTGGATTTCACCCCTGCTGCAGATGAGCCAATCATCTGTATTTGCAGCTGCTCTTCGGCACTAGCCTTACCACTTCACTCCACCTCAGATCATTTGGCATTCAATTCTCATAGGAGCGCAAACTCTACTCTAAACTGCACATGGGAGGGATCTAGGTTTGGCACTCCTCTTCTCCCCCATTCCAGTCCATGGAAAAATTGTCTTGCATGAAACCTGTCCCTCAAGCCAAAAAAAGTTTGGGAGCCGCTGCTTTAAGCTTTGGCAGCCTAGGCCAGTGCCTACTCAGCCTTAGCCTAAGGCCAACCTTGCATGTCTCAAGGCACAAATATTCAATTATTCGAATGATAAGTGAGATTTCATGTGAACGCTCCTTTTGCAGATGAAACTCATCCTTTCTGTGATTGCATCAGAAAAATGAAGTCTTTTTGATCATTTTATTAGGAATTGTCTCTAGGGCCTTACAAGTCCATAGTTGCAATTTAAACCCTAATTTAAACCCTATTTCTCGGATCAGCTACCGTGGGATTGTAAGCAGATATGAAAGGATTTCCAGCCATTCCATAGCTCTGCAGACTTTTCACCAGGGGTGAAGTGCACTTGGCGTTTTCCTCAACAGACCGTCACATGTCTGGACCTTTAAGAACTTCCTGTTCTTTTCTTGGAGACATGCTGTATCATTCTGCTCGCTGGGCTCAAGATCCCCACCCTCCTCCTCTGTAATCCAACCCCGCCTGTCTCATTTCTTGGCATCCCAGATCATGAACTAAACCCAGCTCCAAATTACAACTGGTAAATTTAGAAGTCAGTGATATCACTGCCAAGGAGAATGAATGATACTCTTTTCATTCACTAACCCTACTGGATCAGCTCTTCACCAAGCTATTTGTTTACACAGGATGTTGATCCTCCAGCTAAAGTCACAAAAATTCAAAGTCCTCTATGACTGAAACACAGAACTATCCCTCTGCACCTGGTCAATACATACCATGTACTCCTCTTGCAGTCAAAGTCAATATACGAGGCCTGAAATGAGCTTATATTTGCAGCATTTCAACAGTAGCTGTTGAGTTTTAACCACACGTAAAACTGTCATTCATAAGTTGTGAATCAGTATGCAACTACAGTTGCTACCCATTCATGCTTTCTGTGATGGTAGATTATATATATATGAGTGTTTGTAGGCGGAGTGTTCCAGAAGTATTATGGCAGCCAAAATTTTGCAACAATGATATCAGTGACTGATATTTATTTGGTGACTGCTTCTGGGATACCACATCTACATAAAAATGAGCGGGGCTGAATTTTTAGGCAGAAATATCTGATATATCTTCCCATGACCTTTTCTTTGGGGACAAATTCCCATAGTATTCAAACCAAATATAAAATCAGCTATAAGAAAAATCATTTAGAACAGAGGTCATCAACTCATAGCTCCAAAGGACTGCACTCTGGAAGTCTGATACTAACCAACCAGATTGCAGAAATTCTTCATATTAAAAAAAGTAATATATTTGCTTGTTTGTTTAGCAAGTTCATACGCTGTCCAGTTCCTTAATGGCTATGGGTGGCCTAGAAAAATCCTACAAAAACAATAATAAAACATTTAAATAAGAACTGTAAAGCCAATCCCCCCCTGAATTCTAAAACAAAATAAATATTAAGATTGTTAATGGCCTGACTAAATAAATATATTTTGAGTCCATTCCTCAACCTTCAGAGGGAGGGGGTTTGCTTCAAATCTGGTGATAATGTATTAGTACATGGACACAGAAAGGAGATTATATTTTGCTTTTCATAAATGTCACCTTTGGGGGGAAAAAACCAATATGCCATTCAAAATAAGTCTCCAATCTCAATGTAAAATAAAGTTTATTTCTATATTTTATGAAACAAAAGTTATAAAACTAGAAACAGGTTTATACATTGCATACATTGGTTTCCAGAATTAACCCTTGATATGGCATCTTTGCAATGGTAGGCAAAGCTATGGAAAAAGGAAAACTTGTACCTCCCCATCAATTCCCAGTTAATGAAATACAAAAAGCCCTAATTACTCTAGACTTTGGTTTTGAAAATTCTGATATGTCTTATTGTATAAATGTGTCCATCCCAGTGCCTGAAAAATTGTGCTCTTCATGCTTGTGAGATCCTTTGCATTCATATTTAAACAAAATAGCAGATGGTAATGACCAATTTCTAGAGTAGTTGTTTCTGATTTGTGTCTTGCTGTTTGATTTGCATGATATCTGGTAATGCAAAACTAACAAATATTGATTGTTGCGGCTTAGGTTCACCACAAAACTTGTCAATTGACCCTTTCTGGATTCCACTTGGATTCCCCATCCAGTATTTAAATCCAAGCATAAACTTTAAATTTCTTGTTTTGGGATGTACACTGCACTGATATCTTAATTCAGAAACCTGATATATTATCAGTAAAACAGCAATAATCGAGTCTATGAAATGAACTCCATCTACCACTATAAGTTCAAATGGCACAGGTGGGAACATAACATGAGATTTATTCAAATATTCAAACCCAAAAGAGATAAAACTATAAAAGGGCAACAGAAAGGCAATTTAAACTCCCCTTGAGACAGTATTTAATCCGGTGGACATGTGACAAAGCAAAGAAATATTGGAGTAGGATTCACATCTTAATGCAGAAGATTGTTAAAGTGAATATAAAGATAAAACCAGAGGCTTTTCTTTTGGGTTTAATGGAAAAAGATTTTAGAATAAAAAATGGTACTTTGATGTTATATAATACTGTTTGTTGTTGGCAGCAAAATTACTTTATGCGCAAAAATGGAAGGACACGTTGATTTCCACAATGGATGAATGGCTGCAAAAGTTGATGGAGCTAGCAGAGATGGCCAAATTGACTTCTCTGATGAAAGAAAAGAACATAATTAATTTTGTTTCTACTTGGAAACTGCTTTTGGACTTTGTGCTTGAGGCGGAAAAAAATGAAGCTTTGATTTTGGCTTTTGCCAATTAGATAGGCTTGTTGTTATTGAAATGGCTAGTCTATATTATTACATAATAGTAAAAAGTTGACGTTTGATGCTATTATCTTATTCTACTGCACCAAAAGGAGTCAGAAGTCAACACCTTTTCTTTCTTTCTTCCCTTGCCCTACACTTTTCCCTTCCCGTCTCTCTCCCTTGTTTCCCCACTATTTTCTTTTATATTTTACATTATATTGGGATAAACCAATAAAATTTCTGAAATTGATACAGTATTTAATCAAAACAATAGCTCCTAATCTATCCGTATAATAGTATTTACCACTGAAAGATATAAAACAAGATTTGTCCTTGTTTATTCCCTCTTATTTGCAAGAAAGGATTTCAGCACTTTTCCTAACCTGGAGCTCTGCAGATATACTGGACCAGTTACCTGAGAAGTTGTGTTCCACACAGTTAGAAGCTCCTTTGCTTTGCAACCACAAGCTACTAAGCATCATAGACTTCGACTCTCTATTTCCCACTAATCCCACAAAGGTTGGAATGCTAGGCTAGAAAGAGTCACGTTTTCTTTTCAACTCTACCACTACATCACTGCCAAAAGTCACCAGGATGAGGCCAACTCACAGTATACCAATGAAGACTTTATTTAAAAAAAAGCTGTGAAAACATTTATTTACCTTTCACAACTTGTATGACACCATTCTTAATAAAGCCTCCAACAGGGCACTGATATTTGGTTAAGAAATCCATCCATCAAAAAATGTGGCATTATGGCCATATACCGTATTTTTCAGAGTATAAGACGCACTTCCCCACCCCCAAAAGAAGAGGCTGAAAATTTGGGTGTGTTTTATATTCCGAATGTAGCTTTTTTGAAGCTTTTTTTCAGCCCTAACGAGGCATTAGCGAGCGAAGCTATCTTCTGTGCTTCACCTGCTTTTCTCATTGCTTCTCTCTCCGAAGATCAGCTGTGCTTTAGAAGCTGTTTTTCAGCACCTACGAGGCACTAGCACGCAATGCGATCCTCTGGGCTTCATCTGCTTTTCTCATTGCTTCTCTCACTGAAGATCAGCTGTGCTTTAGAAGCTGTTTTTTTATCCCCCACCAAGGGATAAAAAGTGCGCGCTCAAAACCAGCAAATTAATGTGCTGAAGCTGACCAGACTAAGGATGCTAGCCAGATGAATACCTGGTAGGCAGAATTTTTTCCCCCTATTTTCCTCCCCCAAAACTAAGGTGTGTCTTATACTCCGGTGTGTTTTATACTCCGAAAAATATGGTAATCTAGGTGTTTGTTTTCGGTCCTAGAAGTATGTGAGCCATATATGGGATTCAGTGAGAAAAATAAGGAGCTGGTAATGGGCAGCTTTGTGAGGTATCTCAGAAAGAGAAAATGCAACCAGTTGTTTTTAAATTCTTAATAGCAAGACCTCCTGCTGAATCTAGCTTTAAACAAAATGTCCTTTAAGAAGATGAATTTGGGGTATAGAATGAGTGTGAGAATGTATGGAAACATGATTAGAAGTAGAATTCATTGTTGCCTCTTTCCTGTCTCCACTAGTTTTCAATTTAGTGAAAACAATGAACTGAAGTTAACTGGAGAACAAAACAAATTCATGGCATGAATAGAACTATTAGCCTTAGAGTTGGCAACAAAGATATCAAAGTGGTGGATAGTTTCTTCCTTTTAGTATCAACCATCAACAGTGAAGGAATAAACAGTCGAGAAATATTAGCACTTGGTAGAGCAACCATGAAAGCCTTGGAAAAAATGTTCAGATATCATAAAAAGTCTACAACTAGAGGTATCAGAAAAGGGCAAGAAATAGTATTCCCTGAAGAGGCTTCTTGGATGAGAAGCTAAATATCCTCAAAGAAAACCAGAAAATCCAGTTGCCTCTTGAAAAAGCACCTTTGGGACAACCATGACCTGGATGACTGAGAATCTCCATAGATTCTTTATGGAAAAGAAAGTTGGATTTTGAAGAAGCAGAATAGAAAGGGTGCATTGACATTTTTTGAACTTTGGTGCTGGAGAATAATCCTAAAAACACCTGGACCATAAAAAAAACAAAGGTATTCATCATAGAATAAATTGATTTCACCTGCAGCTGAAATGAGTAGATTTAAATTATCATATTTTGGAAATATTTTACTAAGAACTAGCTCTTTTGAGAAATCTATTGTGCTGGGAAAAGTTAAGGAAAGGGAAAAAGTGAATGATCAGCAACAAGGAGAATATACTGAATTACAGTGGCAATGGATGTATCATTAAAAGCTCTGAAGGGATCATATTAGGGATAGATCATCATGGAGGGGAAACCTATCCACGTGGTTGCTAAAAGTTAACACTTATCTGCCTGCACATAACCGGTCAATCATTTGACTCAGCAACCACCATTCCTTGAATCAAAATATCTGTTAGAATGATAGTTAAACTAAAATTGGCAATAATAAAAACCACTGTTTGGTATAACCGCTAACACTCATTCAATTCCTATCTCTGGGAAAAGTCAAATTAGAAGATGTGGCAAGGTGGAACAGCAGATATTAGAATACACCCTCTAAATTGACAAATTAGTTCATATCCTCAAATCACTAGATTATGAACTAAAAACAGGAACCTTTGCGCAAACTTTCACTTTCACTGCACAATTGTTTTCCCACCTCCAAACAGGTTTCTTTTTTGTTTCATAAGCATAGGTTCTACCTGATCTGCACAATGTCTTCCATTTTCATTCCAACCTCCAAGCTATAGTTGTGGCATTCATTTAACTCCATTAGAACAGCCGTCCCTACATCTTCACCAAGAAATCATTCAGTGATGGAACCTACTATTTCCATGGTACAGTAGTGGTCTCAAATACAATCCCTCATGTCGTCAATTAAACAATCTAAGAGAGAACAGGAAAGACCACTGTCCAAAGGCCCTTTCAGTCAGAATAGGATTCAAAGCTGGATCAGAGAATGCTCAGATTCAGGTAAAACAACTATATACAGAGACAGCTGTGTAAAATCAACAGTGATATGCTCTAAATTGTTTGGAGTTGGGTTTTCAGAATTAGTCTGAAGCCTGAGACACCTGAGGCTTGTCTGTTTTTTCAGCTCATTTTGTACTTGAGGTTCTGCTACTGATTTAGCTGACTGTTATTTTGTTTTTCATATCCGTTTTGATGTCTAGCTACATTGGATTCCGAGGCACGGGAAAAAGTTTTATTTGAAAGTTTTAAACTAAAAATGATATGTAGATAATGAGTTATTTATATATAAAAAAAGTTACAACAATGTCTTTTTTGGACCCTGCTTCACTTTCCTATGGGAAACATTGCCTGAAACATAATGACAAAGACAGATGATGTGGTAAGTGCAAGTTCTTTCTTTTTCCAAATGTAAACATTCAGGAAAGAAGAAAGGACATGCTGCTTTCAAGAATTGTCTTTCCCAACCCAATTCCCCCGCCCCCCTTGTATAGGGCTACAGTAGTCTGTCTGGGAATTCTCAGATTTGTTATCCAATTCACCTGAAGGGTTCAGATTGAGAGTCCCTTGCTTTGGAGAACAGTTCACATCTGTTCAGCAGCCATTGCCCTCTCATACATTCGCTCCAGAATACGGTGGATGCCTGCGAAGCTCGGCCTATCCGAAGGCAACTTGCTCCAACAAAGGCGCATCAGGTTGTACAGCTCCAAAGGGCAGTTATCCGGGCACGACAGGATATTTCCATCTCTTACGTAATAAATGACTTCCTCGTGAGCCATCCCATAATAGGGCTGCATGCCAAAGGCAAAAATCTCCCACAGGACCACCCCGTAGGCCCAGACATCCGACTCGGTGGTATAACGGTTGTAGAAGATAGATTCAGGGGGCATCCAACGGATGGGGATGGCATCGTTTTCATTGGCCTTGTAATAGTCTGCCGAGTACATATTTCTGGAGAGGCCAAAGTCGGCAATTTTAACCACCATGTTTTCTCCGACCAAACAGTTTCTGGTGGCCAGGTCCCGGTGCACAAACTTGCGTTCTGAAAGATAGGCCATTCCGGCTGCTACTTGTTTGGCAATACAGAGCTGGTCAGTGCATGAAAGAGTGAGCACATTCAGGCTGGAGGGTCTGATCTTTGGCTCCAGGTTGTTGTTGTTTGGGTTACAGAGGCTGCGTGGTGATCGGTTACGCAGGTATTCATTCAGGTCTCCAAACGCCATATATTCGAAAAGCAAGCACATGGGCTTTCCGATGGCACATACCCCTGAAACCAAGAAACTCTGTTAGATCAACAAGATTTGTTTGCATCATTTCATAAGCAAGAGTTATTCCCTATGCCAGGAAACAGAAGAGTTGAAAAAAATAGTACCTGTTGGTTCTCCTCATAGTTTATGTCCCAGAATACAGGTAGACTCAACTTACAACAGTTTATTTAGTGACTATTCAAAGTTACTAGAGTACTGAAAAAAGTGGCTTATGACCTTTTTCACACTTACAACCATTGCAGCATTCCCATGGTCATGATCAAAATTCAGATGCTTGGCAACTGACTCATATTTATGACGGTCCCGGGATCATGTGATCACTTTTTGTAACCTTCTGTCAAGCAAAGTTAATGGGGGAGCAAGATTCACTTAACAACTGTGTTACTAACTTCACACCTGCAGTGATTCACTTAATAGCTTTTTTTTATTATAAATACATGAAATAAATAAATAAATAGCTGTGGCAGGAAAGGTTGTACAATGGGGCAAAACTCACTTAACAAATGTCTCACTTAGCAACAGAAATTTCGGTCTCAATTATGGTCATAAATCAAGGATTATCTGTACATTGCTTCCTCTCACAATTGAATACATATTATGCTCCCCACACATTGCTGGCTTACAAGAAGTGATGAGGACCGTAGCTTAACCCACTGGGAAATTGCCAGGTTGGGCTACCAAATGGAAGCTTGCTTTTTTTGCTATGAAATCACTGCCATGGGATGGGTAGCCATATACATTCTTAGAATTAAATATAAATAAATAAAATTAAATCCGCAAAAGAGGAGAGTTATCCTAAAGAAAAGCAGATGTTTTAAAGGATCATTATTTGTAGGACAGAAATACCATTACCATTTGATGATGGAGGTAAAAGAGGAAGAAAAAGAAGAGGGAGGAAGAGAAGGCAACATAAAGAAAATACGAAATAATTTCACCTGCAAAACAAATGGCCAGGACTACATTTCCCCTTTGAGAATAGCAAAGATGCTGTCCTCTGTCTTGAAAAGGATTCCAAAAACAATTTCTTCTGTATTACCCAAAATGAATTTTTCTCAATAGCCGTAGCAACAGGTCCCACTTTTTAAAACATCTTAGCTTCCAGTAACAATGGATTCAATCACAACTGAATGATGTAATTAGCTTTGGATGCCAGGAATATGTGAATGATAAAACAAGGAATCACCTAAGCGTATACAAAGTACTCTTCTTCATCCAATGATTATTCAAACTCATAGTCATTTGTGAGTTAAATGAGGGCACTGGACATCAAATTGATGAATTTTGTTCATTGTATAATCAGAACATGCAATCCTCTATTAGTATTACTAAACTGTATTACTAAATACTAAATTAGTATTACTAAATTGGGAAAAAATGGAGACTGAGAAATGCATAAATATTAATCATACTTTTACAACACTTTTCTAATCATCATTCAGTAGCTGGGTTTGAATTTTTGCTAGTGCCTTCAACTATCTTTTAAAGAAAAAGTAAGCATTTCTCAGTGTGAAAACATCTGGATCTGACTCCAAGAAAAGTGTCCACATGAAAGTTTGGGTCAAAGGATGCTCAGCAGTCCCATAACCCTTTGGCCTTTCCTAATATATCCAATATGGTGTTAATAAACACACACACACATTTCTCCAGCAGAGAGTCTATTTCCTGTTTTCTTTTTCCTTTTTTGCTGCTGAAATATAGACAATCCTTTCAGCCAGAAGAAGACACAACAAAACCTTCAGGTGTTATTTCTAGTGAAAACCAGTTCCGAATTTCATTGCAACACTCAATAGCCTTTGGTGGGAAATGACAGAGAAGGGCCAGAACGAGACTATCAAATGATGCACTGTATTATGGAAAGAAAGGGAAGGGAAGTGTGGGGCCCTTTGAAATGTTAGGTTGAGGTCAAGAAGACTCTCAAAAATTGCAAGTAATTTTGCACAGGATGCTAAAGAGCCAGATGTATCCAAAGTTTTGCCAGATCAAACCTCAGGTTCTGGTACTGCCAACTCCTTCATCAGTAAGTCATCTTTGATGGTCGTCTATATAATTAAGCCAATCCTCTAAAGACACATTTCAAAACTTACATCTACCATGTGAAGGGGAAAACAGAGAGGATTGCCTTTAGTACCTAAAAGTTTGACAATGTTTGGATTGTCGAATTCAGCCATGAGAGCTGCCTCTCTTTGAAAATCGGCCTGCATGTCTGCTGAGGCTTCTTCTTTGAGCATCTTCACTGCAACCATTGTGAAGGGTTCATAAGGAAGCAGTCCAGGAGCCCTAAGGGAAGATGCAGAAAGAAAAGTTACAGATCGGGTGAAGTCCTTTATGGAACACAACTCCCAAAAGTTCCAGACATCAATTGTTAGACTGTCATGATTAACTGGGACAGGAGAATTAAAAGAAGATGAGTTATAGAATGATACAAGAGATTACTATAGCCACCCCATGTCTGTCTTACTTCAACTTTACTTTACTTTACTTTACTTTACTTTACTTTACTTTACTTTACTTTACTTTACTTTACTTTACTTTACTTTAGCATTGTATGAAAAACATTTTCTTCTCATCAGTTATGATTGGAAGACATCCCAGCCAACTATTACTATGACAAAACATAGGATATGATAGAGCATAGCAAGAAATCACAGCATATCCTACCAGTATATCATCCCTATATAGGAAGATTAACTTAGATAATAGGGCTCATGGCAGGAAATGATATCTGCTTCATAAAGTATGCATATTTATTTGCATCCTTCCTGAAGTTCAAATAGCTAATGATAAGGGGGGAAAAAGAATATGCAGAGCAATTGGTAATTAGGACCACACTTCAAACAGAATACAATTAAAGCTCAGGAAGAGAATTTCTACTTCTAACTATCTCAAGTTAATAGATACATCTGGTCTGACCATGAGGAAGAGATATCCTAGTCATGTAGTAACTCTCTGTACTTATATGTAGTAAGGAACAGTAAGTGCATACAGTCAACCTGCTCAGCTGTTGGCTTAAATGTCAAGCTGTTTTACTATTCTGGAGCCGTTTAATGGTTCTAGTCTCCAAAACATATTTCTAGCTTTTATGATAGCTGTTCTGGCCATACGCAGTCAGACAGGTGCAGCTGAATGCAGCAAATGTCACATCATTGTCAAATGCCAATAAAAGGCAAAATGCCAGCCTGAAATCAAATCATCCCGAGTGGCAAAGCAACTGCAAGCCAGGCCTGTATAATTTTGCAACCAAGAGCATCAAATTCTTTGCAAATATTTAAGCTCAATGAAATGTCTTCAGGAAACTGTTGGGCTCTGATGATGAGCCACAGGAATCTATTTTAATGTATCTGCAACATATTTTGTTCTGTGAGAAAGAGGCGAGGAAAATGGTGTGACTTCCTTGAGCAGTTGGAGCAATAGAAATTCAGCTGGGTTCTAATTTGGATGGGGGTCCCTTAGTTGCTTTTTAGAGCTAAAACATAAGATTTGGAATTTTGCAGACACAAAACTAAAGTTCTGCAATTTGAAAGAATTATTTACAAGTCCTTACTGCTACAGCTTCCTTCAAAGCATGACTTCACTACTTTTAAACATTACTTTATTATTTTATATATTACATTCCTTAGCACCATATTAGGTTTTTCTATTTCTGTTTTCTGTCACCAAATACAGGTGATATGGTAGCAGTTGAATTACAAGATTAGTAGTTTAAATAAATTACTACTACTACTACTACTATTACTACTACTACAATAAACTACTTTATGACAGGATTGTGTCTAAAACACTGTTTCTCAATATTAGCAACTTTTAAGATGTGTGGACTTCAACTCCCAGAATTCTCCAGCCAGCCAAGCTTGAGAAATGGAGGACTATAAATTAGATTTTGGGTGGTTGAATGCAGTCTACAGATTTGGAGTTGCACACTCCTGATTTAGATTAATTTTACTCAGAATAACAGTTTGAAGAAACTTTGGAGATCTTCTAGTCCAACCCTCTGCTCAAGCAGGAAACCCTATACCATTTCAGACAAATGTTTATCCAATCTCTTCTTTAAAACCTCCAGTGTTGGAGCACCTATAACTTCTGGACGCAAGTCATTCCACTGATTAATTGTTCTGTTAGGAAATTTCTCCTTAGTTCTAGGTTGCTTCTCTCCTTGATTAGTTTCCATCCATTGCTTCTTGTCCTGACTTTAGGTACTTTGGAGAATAGCTTGACTCCCTCTTCTTTGTGGTAGCCCCTAAGATATTGGAACGTTGCTATCATGTCATCCCAATCCTTCTTTTCATTAAACTAGGCATATCCAATTCCTGCAAACTGTTCTTAATGGCAATAAAAAGTCACCACATGAAGTGATAATATATTATCTAGTGATAATTTATTCCTCCAGTAGTCATTCTGCTCAATATGAAAGGAACAGCAGATATTTAGTGTTTGAGGAGCCAATGGATGAAGCTACTCCTTGTGAGATCATGACTGCATCCAAGTCAGAATTCCCCCTTAATCAAAATGGTACCACAGCAGGGAAGTCCTTAATATGCCTGGAATAAGTGGAAAAGCTCTCTAACTGGAAATAAATCTATGAGGATATATAACTAATATTGATTCATGTAGTCTTTCTGTGACATACAGTTAATATAAATGGGTCCCTATTTTCAGGCTCTGCAGGACTTTAAACAGAAAGAACTCAGTGACAGCTGCCAAATCATGACTGGTTAACAGTTCATTTACCTTGCTTGAAAGACACGACCGAAAGCACCTTCCCCAATATCTCTCACATATTCAATATTATTTCGTGGATATTCCAAACTGAATAATTTGGGATTCAAAAGTAGAGGCATGCGTTGGTACATAGGATTGGGGTGCAGCCTGTCCAACAGGAGCTCCGAAGGAAGAGTTGTCAGAGCTGGTGGTGCAAATTCTCTGAAATGAACGAGGGAGAAAGAATCTGTGACTTAATTGGAACAAGCCTTGCAAACAAACCAACAACTTTTTGTGACTCAAAATTCTAGTGTCCATTCAACCAGGATATATGGAATATGCAAAAACAGAGAAATGTTATAGATATAATATATAAATATAAATTTTAATTTTAATTTAGAATGCTAGTCCATGTATGATATGCCATATGCTAAATAAATAAATAGAGGAATGTTATCATTTTGATGAAACATAAATTAAACTAGGAGGTTATTTATTTCCCAGTCATTTAAGGTAGCGGCCCCCAACCTTTTGGGTACCAGGGACTGGTTCCACAGAGAGAGGTTTTTCTGCAGACCGGACCAGGGTGGTTTCACTTGCTGCCTGCATCCCATGGACTTCTGTTGGTTGCTGCCCTGTTTCTGGCATGTTGCAGCCTGGTGCCAGTCCATGGACCAGGGATTGGGGATTGGGGGGGCCCTGACTTAAGGTATGCAATCCTGTCTCCAGTAATACTACTAGGAGCATCTATGTCCATGATATCTCGCACTAAAGATAACACTTATAAAAGGCTAAATCTGCCTATATACAAAAAGCTCCATTCCCTAAACTGATTCTTCCAATTTTATAAGATTTTGGGACATATAATCCCCATTTATGGCCATGTAAGGGTAATGAAAAAAACAACAGCAGAGGATTATAACAGAAGAGTTAATAAAAGAAGATCTGCAAGAAATACCATTTGCCTGAAAGCCAAAACTGGTGGGACTACAAAACAGACAAAGTAGTTTAGTTAGTTTAGTTTATTTGATTTGTATACCGCCCTACTCCCGAAGGACTCAGGGCGGTGAACAGCCAACAATAAAATACATAAATACACAAAATTTAAAAACCCGATAAAATCAAATTAAATTATTTGGCCCAGACAAATTAAAATACCCCAATAATTTAAAAACAGATTAAAATTTACGTATTTAAAAAGGGAAGAGATCAGGCCAAGCCCGCTTGATGGAATAAAAAGGTCTTCACAGCACGGCGGAAGGAGCACAGATCCAGGATCCTCCGTATCTCTGGGGGGAGCTCATTCCAGATGGTAGGTGCCCCCACAGAGAAGGCTCTCCCCCTAGGGGCCGCCAGTCGACACTGTTTGGCTGACGGCACCCGGAGGAGTCCCTCTCTATGAGAGCGTACTGGCCGGTGGGAGGCTATTGGTGGTAGTAGGCGGTCCCGTAAATAATAGAAGTAATAGAAAGCGAAGAAGCTAAATTATGGTGGGATTTTGGAAATGAGATATACAAGCATTTGCCACATGGCATCCCAGACTTAACAACTGTCCATAAGAAAGACACACACAAAAAAGTATGGCTAGTGGATGTGGCAGTATCTGAAGACAGCAGAATAGAAGAGAAATAACTAGAGAAAAGCACAAAATACATAGCTCTGCACATAGAAATAGATAGAATGACAAGAGATAGGCAATCTGGCACAAAGTCAACCAGCTGACTTTCACACCTCAGGGAAGATTGGAATTTGTTGTCCTTCAGTTTCTGGTACAGCACTTTAATCACAACACTAGACTGACTCTTCAATTCAGCAAAGTTGATGTCGTTCTCCATTTTGCTAAATCTGATTGTGCTCACTAACACTTACCTTGTTTTGTTTTTCCATTGCTTGCGTCTCCGACAACAGACAAGGACTGTAATAATGAGAATGATGACCATGGCAAAGCTGGAGATGACAGAGATGATGACGGTCATGGAGTAGGTAGAAGAGAAAGAGGAGAAGAAAGGGAAATGTGGAGATGCTGTACTCAACTTTGTTGTTCCTAGTGTCAAGGAATCTAAAATAGAAACAAATGAGACTTCCGTTTTAGAGGCACCATTGCTTATACTATTATCATATTGCCATGGAAATTAGTCTGGAAGCAGAAGCACTGTCCAGCGCGTTGAAGGGAATAGGAATTGGGCTTCTTGTTTTTAGTGCACAAAAATATTTGAGGAGAGAAAATCATAGCATCCTCAAATGGCAAAAATAAAGACTGTTTTGTAAGTGATAATGGACAGAAATATTTAACGGGGTGGAACAATGCATTTGACTGAGCCACTGTTCAAAATTCATTGGCACCCAAACAAAGCACCTCCTCCTGTAACATTAAAGCAGACACCTTCTCTGGAAAGCCAGACTGCAGCTGTTTTAAAATCCCAGACAACCCTTTCATTGAGATTGCCAGCAAAACAGCTCTGCATATGCATGCATGAACTGACAGCTGGGGATAGTCTTCACAGTAGCTGCACGAGTCTTCTAAAGATCACAACCACCTGACGCTCCAAGGAGGGATGTTTCATTGCAAGCAACTCTTTGGAACCAGTCCTTGTGTTTCACCCAATCCTGAAAGGGGCTATCAAACCTTTCTAAAACTGTTTTAATCCTTCCTTCACATGTGACCTCCAAATGATTTTAGAACTAGCAATATGCCCTACTGAGGTTAAAATACTGTGCGACTGTTCCAAGGAAAAATCTGCAAATCAAATCCAAATCTACTCCTACATTGACTTCATGATGTAGTTCAATTGTTGACTAATCACCATTTTGCTTTTAATGGAATGTGAAGAACATGCCAGAGACATGTTCTTCAAAAGAAAGAAGGAAACAAATGTGAATAGCTAAGATCCAGTGATGTACATATTTTTATTACTATACTGTAAGTCATATTAAACCCTTGCAACTTAGTAAATTCAAAAACAGATGAGTCTTTATTGGTTAACTTTCAACCTGAAAACAGCATAATTGATTATCAGATTTAATGACTGGTACTAGTCAACCTTAATGTGTATGGAGATTCTCAACCATCCAGGTTACGGTTGTCCCAAAGGTGCTTTTTCCAAAAGGCAACTAGACTTTCTTGGGTTTTTTTCTTTGAAAACATTTTACTTCTCATCCAAGAAGCTTCTTCAGTTCTGAGAAATGAAATATTTTCAAAGAAAAAAACAAGAAAATCCAGTTGACTTTTGGAAAAAGCACCTTTGGGACAGTCAATTTTAATGTACTGTGGTAAGCTACCAAAAGTGTGAAAAACGACCAGAAGTCACTTTTTTCAGTGCTGTATTGTAACTTCAAACAGCCACTAAACGCTAAATGGTTGTAAATCGAGAACTACCTGTATTACTGTTTACAATCAAAATTCCAAACCTAAGCAGAAATTTATAGAGTAATGCCAAATCAAAAATTTCAAATCGCGAGCTTGCAGCTTTTGGACTAGATCTGTTGGGTAAAATTCACAGCAAACCACTCCATTTGATTGAATAATGTTTGCAATGGGATCTTACCATCTTCACACTGAGGTATGTGGCAGTATTCCCACGGGACAGAAGGATCTCTTGTATAACACCAGGGCCGCACATTTTCACCCCCTGGGTTACGACAATAATTTATTGCATTGAAGAGGTCTGGGAAAATCTCAGGTGTTTTTCTATGTGCATGAGGAACCTAAGTGACAGGGGAGAAGATAGTAAATATTTTTCAAGTATTTTTTTTTTCAAATTTTGGGCACTTTTGAAGCAATCCTAGCAGAATTTTGTAAAGAATGAAAGCTCCAGGGGGGAAGGGCTGATGAATCAGTGCTAGGCTATACTTTCCACATTTAAAAATATGAATGGAATGATCAAGTTGCTTTCCGGCCATATGTTTCGCATATCCTTCCATTTGTCAGGTCTATTTTACTGTCTCATTAATCTGTTTTTTAAAAAAAGTTCTGCAAGAAAATATGAATCTGAACTGATTTTCTCCACTTTTCAAAATATATTACTGTATCATTTTTTAAAAATTCGTTTCCATACTTATTTTTAGTGCTTTTTTTGTTTCCAACAGAAAAAAACTACAGAACAATCAGTGAGAACTGCAGAAGAGAACTTGCATCATAATCCACATATTAGACAGGAAGGTTGGTCCATTTCATTTTGCAACACAGAAAGGGCAAAATTCTCAAGTACGACAGCAATGTGTTTCTCATTTTAGGCTCTTACTAAGCAATACAGTTCAAACTGTGTTCGTCTCCCAACATAAAGCCCTTTTTAATCTGCAAATAAACTTGACATAAACAAGCCCCCATCTCTCTTCTCCTCTACACAAAGGCTAATATACTTCCTTGCCCAGCCCAGAAATGATTTGACATCAGTGATTCCCAGAGGGAGATATATATTCAAATCTACTTTACAGCAAGCTTTTCTCCACTTTGAAAAATAGTCTTCTTACCTGTGCACTCCACTTCTGACACGGAATGCCAGAAACTGTGACATTCACCGAACCTTCATATGTCACCCCATTCCCTTTGTAACAAGTTTCTGAAGAGAAACAAAATTAAACAGGATGGTCTAATAACAGTACACGGTACATTCCCCTTAGTGGAAAAAGCATATTTGCTCTGACAATATTGAAAAAATAATTATTAAGTTTTCTTTCAAGGGTTAAATGGGGAGACTGAATATGCTTCACTGGCGTCTTTTTGACAGATCAGGAACTCAGCATGATTATTTATGGGGCAGCTGTAACAGCCCTCATAAACCTCAGACTCTTTCTCTTTCTTTCTAAGTCCAGTTAATTTAATTTAATTTTTTACTGTTACAGTCATGAACCCTTCTGTCCATCCTGTTAAATTGCCCAACACTTTTTACAAAACCATATATTCTTTTAAAATGCCAGATACTAAAGAGAACTGCTTACTTGTTGTGCCTTCTTTTTTCAGATCTGAGGAAAGAAAAAGATAGAAAAAATATATATATAAGCAAGATCCTATATAATAATCCCTGAGATAAAAAGGTGGGTGCTGTGGTATTTAGTATGACATGATTAAAGGAATGTTAAGTTATCAACCAAATATCTTAGCTATGCCTTTATCCCCAGCTGGATGATTGGCCATATGCAGATAACTATAAATCATGAAAAAAACATTTTAACCTGATTTTTTTTTTCTGTGAGTTACATTGTTCTTCCAGAGCTCAGAGCACTTGATGAAAGAGATCCTCACCAGTTTGGTTAAAATACATTCAGTGATATGTATGTAGAGGTTGAACATTTCATAGCTGCCCAAGCTGCCAAATACTTGCCTCTACCCTTTTTCATTCTTGCCTTGTTGTGTCCTTGACTATTCAGAGGCTAAATCAGAATCCCATTACTCATGACTATTTATTTATTTATTTTAATATAGACCCTTCCCTTGTAATCAGTTGGGAAACAGATGGGAAGGGAAATTGGGCAGGACTCTGGGTTTGACAGCATTATGTATCAAATACATAATTTTCACAATAACTTTTGTGAGAGATATTTATTTTATTTATTTAAAAAAAATCGTATGGCCATCTTCTGAGCAGCTTCCAACAATTAAACTACTAAAACCAGAAAACCCAAAACTAAAAAAATCCAGTACAGATAGTCTTTGACTTACAACCACACTGAGCCCCAAATTTATGTTGCTAAGCGAGACAGTTGTTACATGAGTTTTGCCTCATTTTGCCTCATGCCTTCTACCATGGTTTTTAAGTGAATCACTGCAGTTATTAAATTAGTAACATGGTTGTTAAGAGAATCTTGCTTCCCTGTTTGAAGAAGGTTGCAAAAGGGATCACGTGACCCTAGGACACTGCAACTGTCATAAATATGAGTCAGGTGCCAAGTGTCTGAATTTTGATTATGTGACCATGGAGATGCTACAATTGTTCTGTGAAAAAAGGTCATAAGTCATTTTTTTCAGTGCTGTTATAATTTTGAACAATCACTAAACAAACTGTTGTAAATTGAGGACTACCTGTACCTCAGTCATCCTCCCAGGATGCCCCAACCATCATCCCCAGACTCTCCTCACACTACTCTGGTGTCTAGGTGAAGAGTCAGCTTTTGATGGCTTTCCAGAAGACTAAAAGAATGAGGGTTAGCCAGATTGCTGGGAGGAGGGTGTTCCATAAGGTAAGTTTTATTGCAGAGTCATGCAATTTACTGAGGCACTTACCAAAATGTGGGATCCTGGTGCAGACGGTGGGTTCCTGGTGCATGCTGGGAAGTCTGTTACACTCTGGCAAAGTAAGCAACATCAGTGCCGGCTTGTAAATGCCTTTGCGGGCATTTTCTTCCATCGCAAGCCATTCCTTAAAGCAGTAGAGATCCTTTACAGCAAGGCAATGCTCTCTACATCGTTTTATAAACAACAGTGGGATGCATAGTCAGCCACGCAATCACAATATTGCAATCACAATGGATTTGTATATAAACACACAACCACAGAATGGTGTAAATAAGATTGGCATTGGAATATCAGTTATGAATCTCTTTTAAACTAGTGGAAGATCTGTTTTGTACACTGAAATTAACTTAATTATCTTTTAAATCTTGCCTGGGACTCCGTTTTTGGTACAACTGTGCCACCTTTTGGCTTTGTTTTCTTTATTCGTTTTGCATACATGTATTAACATATTTTGTCAACAGCAATGGCCGAACACCCATTCACAAAAAGCTAACTGCAGTTGTAAGCTAAACAGAAAGCTATAATTCTTACTCTGCTAACAGGTGGGGGTAGCAATGACTGACAATCTCTGTGTACAGAGTTGCTAGGTGAAGGGAGAAACCTACTCCAGAAAGTATCTGAGAAGGTTTAATGTTTTCAGAATGATCTGGAAATCTATACTCCTGCACGATTCAAAGTGGAAAATATTACTGATCTGATTCCAATAATTCCATACAACTTCTTGCCCCATGTTAAACAACTTTAAACTCAGAACAGGTCCGAAGTTTTTTTTTTTTTCAATGGCATAACTATTTTATTCCATCACTTCACAAAAAAATATATACTGCTCAAAAAAATAAAGGGAACACAAGCAGAAGACATCCGAGATCTGAATGAATGAAATAGCCTTATTAAATACTTTGTTCTTTACATACAGTAGTTTATACACTGCTCAAACAACTAAAGGGAACACAAAACTACTGTATGTAACGAACAAAGTATTTAATAAGGCTATTTCATTCATTCAGATCTCGGATGTCTTCTGCTTGTGTTCCCTTTATTTTTTTGAGCAGTGTACATGTATTGTGAAGTTACATCATGGACATTTCTTATTTGTCAGGGTTTTTCTCTCTCAATATCTAAGTGCCCCACTCTGAAAACAGAATGTCAAATTAAAAAGAACTTTTGCTCTGATCCAGTAGAGCAGAAGTTGAGTTTTGTGCAAGAATTAGATGTACGGTACAGTGCAGAACCCCTGAATTTCAAATATATCAATTAATTCTAAACCCCACTCAATCGTTGCTTACATGAACATATTTATACTAAGGTGTGTAGAATAGTGGTGAAGTCAACCATGGAGCTTACTACTATGTTTCTCCAAAAATAAGACCCTGTCGTATATTTTTTTGAACCCTGAAATAAGCGCTTGGCCTTATTGCCATGCACTCAAAAGCCCGATTGGGCTTATTATCAGGGGATGTCTTATTTTGGGGGAAACAGGGTAGTTTACTTGGATTTAGCCTATTCAATGAATAATATGAATACATTGCAGGTCTCACAGAGAACCATTATTATTCCTCATAGAGAACCATTATGCCATGGATTTGTCCAGAAGCATGCTGAAAACTGACTATTATAATACATACCTATGTGCTGAAATGGCATTTAATTGTACACAAAATTCAATCTTTCTTTGGTGTCTCCCTAAGACTATTATGTTTTCAAGAAAAGATATCTACGTGAACCCCACAGCACAAATTCAGTCTGTGTAACAGACCATCATATAATATGAGGGATATAGCCAAGAATCAAAAGGAAAGTGTTTTGCTGATTTCTGTTACCTGCAAACAGGTTTTGGAGCATGTCCAATCCTGGAAGGGTTGCACTCCTGGAAGATGTAGTGACACAGCAGCGACTCAGCGGCTGGACGGCAAAACGGATTCACGGTTTTCAGCTCAGCCCAAGCTGTGCGAACAAGCAGTTCCTGAGTCTCCTCTGGATCTCCATAGGAAGTATTAAAGAAAACAAATGCATCCTTTGCCAACAAAGCACTACACACCTCTCCCCGATATGAACTGCAGTAGCCTGCATCACCTTTGTAGACTTTGCTGATGGGAGAAACACAGGTAGATAAGGATTTCCATGCAGGCTGGAACTGAGGTGTACAGCCCTTGAAGAAATAACAATCGCAGTTCGGATGGGGTAGTTCTAGCTTAACTGCCCAGTTTAGCCACTGTTCAAATTTACAACAGTACCTTTATGGAAAGTAAAGTTTACGACCAGCCTTCACACTGTCACAGTGTCCCTGTAGCCAGGTGATCGAGATTCAGATGCTTCATAGCCAATGGGTATTTAATAATTGTTGCAACATCCCACAGGCGTGTGATCACCATTTGATCACACTTCACTACCGACTTCTGACAAACAGAATCAGTGGAGAAACCAGCAGTAAAATTGCAAGTCGAATCACATGATCTCTCATTTAACAACCATATCACTCAATGACAGAGTTGCTAGGCTCAGTTGTGATTAGTAAGTGAGGACTACCTCTACGATATATGTATGATTGATATGTCTAGTAGTCCCCAACCTTTCTGGCTCCATGGATTGGCAGCGGCGGCGGCAGCAACGTACAAGCTAGTTCCCATGCATGTACAAATGAAGCTTTACACACTTGCCCACTGCTTGCATGGCCTGGTTCTCAACAGGCCGCTGACCAGTACTGGTTCATAGCTTGGGGTTTGGGGACCCTTGTAGTAGATCAAGCAAGATTTTCAAAATAATTGCAAGCTTTCATAATCCTAAGAATTCTGGATCAAATGAGATGGCTAATATTAAAAGAAAAACAGATGAAAAGAAAGAAAAAAAAATGCTGGATCTTTAATCCATATCTTTGCAGTTGACATTCATCATTAGAATAAGTTGAAGTCATCAGATTCTGATCAAGTTCAGAATTTAGTTAAGAGATTCCTAGAACTTCACTCCGGTTTGTTGGAAAGAAAAAGCAAGCAAATATTTTGGAAGTTCACATTTTTGGAACGATTAATCCCAGCTGTTAAAATCAACACTTTTTTATCAGGAAGACTTAGGATAACTCTCAATATAATCTAACAATCACTTTTATCTAATAATGTGTTATCTTTCCAAAGAATAATGCTAAAACTAACAGGCACACATCCCAATATCAGTCATATTTCCTTTTTCCCTCCACACACATATCTGTTTTTAACCAAGACACCTGATAGAGAGTTCCTTGGACATTCAAGAGCATACCACTACTTTGTATAGCAAACTACTTATTTACTCTCTAAACCAGTGGTCCCCAACCCCCGGTCCGCAGACCGGTGCCGGGCCGTGGAGTACCTGGCACCGGGCCGCGCAGCGGCTGGGGGACATGAACGCTGCAGCGCAAAGGCTCCTGGGCCGTGCGCAAAAGCTCCTGGGCCGTGCGCAAAAGCTCCTGGGCCGTGCGCAAAGGCTCCAGGGAAGAGAGCCCCGCGCAGGTACGCACGTGTGGCCCAAAGCGCCCACCCCTGTGCGCGCTCAGCGGGCCACGGTAAAATTATCAAAGGCTGATTGGTCCGCGGCGATAAAAAGGTTGGGGACCACTGCTCTAAACCTTTGTATATTAGGAAGTACATCTTATGGAAAACCTCTATTCATTAAGCTGAAAGTATGTGGCCTTCTCAATGCAATCAAGACTCTGGTGTGCCTGGCAAATGCTAAATATTTTTAAATGTACATGCACAGCTTCTCCCTTTGGGCCATTTGCCCAACAAATAAAAAAATATCTGAATGTAGTAATTGAACCTGATTCTATGTGATCAAAAATAAATAGCATGGAATACAATGCTGCTTACTCCTGAAGAATATTATGGTTATTCCACATAGACTTAAAGGTAAAGGTTCCCCTCACACATATGTGCTAGTCGTTCTCGACTCTAGGAGGCGGTGCTCATCTTCATTTCAAAACCAAAGAGCCAGCACTATTCGAAGATGTCTCCGTGGTCATGTGGCCGGCATGACTAAATGCCAAAGGCACATGGAATGCTGTTACCTTCCCCCCAAAGGTAGGTCCCTATTTTTCTATTTGCATTTTTTATGTGCTTTCGAACTGCTAGGTTGGCAGAAGTTGAAGAATATTATAGTCATTCCACATAGACTTATTACCTCTTATTTTGAGATTCCTTTGTAATAGATTTCATAGCTTTCTGGATTTCACAGCTTTTAATCAGGAGATTAGTTAAAAGTCTACCTTCTGAGTATAAATAACAGAAATGTAGGATATATTATATATGCCACTTGTTATCCATTCTTTTGTTCATGTACAACAGGGATGTTAAATTTGTGTTGTCATGTTGTCATCAAGTGATGTATCGTGACTTTTCCTCCCTTCGCTAAACCAGGAGTGGGCGTGGCCATGCATGACGCATCCGACCCGCAGGCCATGAGTTTCACTTTTATGTACAGAAGCAATCTTAAAGCAAACAAAAATTTCTACCTATCACTCATGCAGAGCGTGAGTCATCAAAAAAAATCAAGGTGGTGGCTACAGCTGTTCAACCTCCCACCCTATTTCTATGTTTGTTACAAAAAGGGCAAATCTTTGATTGCCATCCCCAACCACCATCTTGCCTGCTTTTTATACCCCTACCCCATGTCTCTTGCTCAAGGATTACCATGGCAAATTCACTCAGTTCAAAATGGGGGACTGCCCATAGAGGCTAATTTCTGAAGGAAACTACTGTTCTAAGGAGTCCATTTGACTCATCCATTTGGCAAATCATGATTACCAATGTGATATTAGACACAGATGGCAAACCAAGGCATCTCTGCCAATATTTCACTTTTATTTTATTTTATTTAAGGCATCTATATAGCCGACCATCTTTCAGACAACTCTGGGTGGCTTCCAATAAAATCATTTTTAAAAAACTAAAACACATTCAATTAAAAGAGAAAACATTTAAAAAACAATAAAAGCCAAAACCTGGTGCCAATCCACACAAACATATCACTTAATCTCTCAACGTTTGGGAGAAAAGCCAGGTCCTTAAGGCATTTACAATGTTGGGGACTTGTTCTTCACAGTTGTTGCTTCACAGGCAAGTGCACAAAAAAATCATTAGCCTACAATGTCTTGTTTAATCCACTTGCACATCCATCCTAAGGGTAACCCTTTCATGGCAGTGGTTTATTTATAGATTTATCACAGATTATATGGCTGCCCGTCTCATACAAGTTGACTCTGGCAGTATGCAATAAAACAAAGGCAATTCTTCCTCCAGCCACTCAGCTCCCTTCATATGAAACACATGCAGAACTCTGCTCAGCCAGAGGTGTTTTATGAAGCTTTACTCAAAGGCCACAGAGTTCAATTTATATCCCTTCTAAATATTTGGAAATGCCAGCTATCTGCACCTTTGCAGAACCCTTCACATCACCGATCTGTCCGCCTGGAGGAAAATGAGTTGCCTGCCTTTTGACAAGATGACTAGCATTTCCAAACACTCCATATTTACGGATGAGCTCCAACTGCAAGAATGCCGGTCAGCTTTCTCCGTTTTAGAATTCTTTCTCAGCGTTGCAACTTACTTGCATCTTTAATGCTATTTCTTTTTTCTTTTTTTTTGGGGGGGGGGAGAAGGCTACCATCCGGATGGGACCGCTTTCTCCTCAGCTCAAGTTTGAAGGAAAGGAAGTGATTAATGATGACTGTAACTTGATCGCTGTGCGGCGACCCTGAGGATATAGTAGGGCAAGCCGGGAGTCCTATTTCTTCCTGTGCTCAAGTCTTTTCCACTCTGATTTTATGAATGATATACAGAGAGGCTGCCTGTAGTTTTATAAGCTCCACTTCTAGCCTTCCTTGTGTCACAGACAAGCTTCTGAAGGAAGACAACTAGCAGGACTTGCAACAACGTGTGGGAGGACATCTTCAACCCTTAATAACAAAACTCCTGTTCAGAATTCAGATTTGCCAGCCAAACATTCTTCCACCGGGGATACTATAAGCAGCCTGTTCATTGTCTGCATCCCCATTTTCTTACTGTTTTCCTCTAAATGGCTCCTTAAGGTTACTGAATAAGCTCAGGCCTCATTAGTCTAGTGCTTCCTTTTAATGGCAGCAGGCCGTGAGTTTATGTCCTTGAATTTTGCATATCTGTTTATCTAGCTAGTTAATATTTCAGTCTTGATTTTAGCTTTCATCTAAACTTGCTTTTGTCAACTAGCCAGATGAAGCTCTATAACCTATCATTACTTTCAGTAAACAAAAGTAATTTAATGTTAACCACCCTCCCCTCTCCCCAAAATTTGCTTATCTGTAAAGTTAGTCACTTTGAACTGAGCCAAATCATTCATCCGTCTAGCAGGTAAATTTTTGTTCATTATTAGGTCCACACAGATGAGCAATGTTTTTGGTCTGCTGCTTGTTTCTTTATTTGCTGCTTCCTTTTCCAGATTGTGTACCCTAATTTGGATCCATGTTTCTACAGCAGGGGTGTCACCATGGTCCACCCTGGAAACAGTGAAGGACCAGCCCATGGTGCCTCTGCAGAGGGTTGCAGGAGGATGTCCCAGCCGAAAACAGAGCTCGGGAGTCCATTTTTGCTGACAGAGCGCTCAAGCCACCACAGGCGCCTCCGACACGAGTGATGTCAAGCTGACCATGCCCACCCTGGCCATGCCCATCCTGCCCCCCCCCAAGGTCAAACACAACCCTGATGCAGCCCTCAATGAAATAGAGTTTGACACCCCTGTTCTACAGCCTTAATATAACTAAGAGGCTTAAAATGCTGTTGTCAGAAAGTAGCCAATTCCTTGCATGTAGTTGACGCTCTTTAAGTTCTAGAAACAAAGTGAATTCTACAAGAAGGCAAATCTGGGTTTCCTGCAAAAGGAATCTAGACTGGCAGAAAAAAACAGATGGATGTCTTCTTCAAAAGGTTGCTTCCAATCCCTCTGGCAGTAGTAAAAAAAAAATAAAAGGATGGCCTTGACAAGCACATTATGTGTCAGTCAGAGGTCATATGAACATTCCTCAAATGCCTTCCCACCTGCATTTCCAACTGTGGGAATTTGGTTGACAGATTTGGCTGCTATCTTGCCATGACCTATTAACCTTTATGGAATATTATATAAGGAATGGATCTTGAAAAAAATGCTGTCAAGACTACAAACTTTTGGCATGCTCTGTTTATGCCAGGAAGAAAAAGCCTGGATCTGAGTTTTTGCTTTTTGTTTGTATTTATTCTCTTTTTTCTTTAGTTGCAATTCAACATTGGCCTATAAACCTGGCAAGCATCTGGTATTTCTGATACTCTGTTTCCAGTGTTTATCAACTTGTGAATGAGGACCACCAGGGCAGGAGGTTATGCATATCAGTAAGTTTCACTAAAATTATCCAGTTTCTAGCCAGATGTGCACTTTCTGCTTGGCCCATTGCCAGTACAAACCAGCCATAGTTTGTTTGTTTGTCTTATATTGATAACTCTGAATAGAGGCTGATTGTTTACAAAGCAATCAACAAAAACATCTGTAACAGTTAAAATACTATGGCAAATATAAAACCACTAAAACAGCTAATAATTAACAAAAGTGAGTTGCAAGAGAATTAGCTCAATCAAATAAAACAATATCAATAATTAAACTAATCTGGATAATTGAGTGTAAAATAAATGAAGAATGACAATAATAAGCAATTTCAAAACTTTTTTGAAAACTCATTTTAACCTATAGGGCCATTATTAGTTTCTTGTGCGCACTTGTAAAGCCCACTTTTGGTCTTTTAATGCGAAAAGCTAAACAATCAGAAAATACAGATGATTCAATGGCTTCCTTTTTGAAGCTACATTCCAAATTTACAAGTTTGTAATTGGAATTATATTTCACTAAACTTTGCAATTTCCTTAGATACTTTTAGAAACATGGCTTGGGGTTTCTGGGAGATATTTCTCTGGGAGAAATATCTTACCAGCAGAACACATAATATATCAGTATTTATTCTATTCAATTGCTGAATATGCCTGCAAAAAGATTCCACCCCCCCCCCAAATATGTTTAATGGAATAGATCTAATCAACTTTAATTCATCAAATTACATCGTTTCTTTAAAAAAAATTATGCATTTGATTCATTCTAATAGCTTTGACTGGGAGTACTTCGTAATTTTTAATAAGGTCTAGGAAATGTATCTATCCACCAAGATATATACATTAGTGAACACAAAGTCTCCATTCAAGAGGCTTTGTTTCTGGAGCAATTTGTAGGGCAATTTGCATCCTTTATTCACCGAATCTTAATAGGATAAGATACTGATGTTTTCAATTTACAACCCTGGAGTGTTTTCCAATCTCTTCTTTCTCTCTCTCTCTCTCTTTTGCTTACCAGAAAAAAAAAGTCTATTGAAAAGACAGAATAACTTCATTATTCAGTCTCTCAACCAGAAGCATGCAACTCAGGTTTCCCAAGGGTTAATACAATTTTCAGGCAGATGGATGGGTTTTCCAAAATTACTGCTTTCCGTTCCTAACAAATTTGCACTGTGTTCACTGTTGAAAAACTCAAACTTTCTTTTCTAGTCCTTGCTTCTATTGGAATATCGCTCACAATCAAATCTTTGTAGTGGCATAATAGAAAAGTTAAGGATATTACAGCATATTTATTTTGTGTATGTTTCATATTTGTATCCCATCTCTCTCAGGATCAGCCTTATCTTCAGTAAAGTTGCCTTTATCGGTTTGCCTGTTCAGGTTCTGGTTTTAACTTTTATTACATTGCAGATGCTCCAAAATGTTTGGGGTTCCAAGTCACCAACTTGGTTTTCTGCCCCGCTTGAATTAATTTAAAAAAAAATATTTTTAAAAGGTATAAAATATATTGATATTTTTTTTAAAAAAAATACTTTACTGAACTGTATACTGTATACTTTTTAAAAAGTATACAGGAAACTGACATACAACCAAGCAAAATACTAATTTCTAGCATCAACTTTATTGCCCACAATGCACTGAACATTCTGAGCCCAAAATTTATGCTGCTAAGCGAGACAGTTGTTAAGTGAATTTTGCCTCATTTTACAACCTTTCTTGCCACAGTTGTTAAGTGAATCACTGCAATTGTTAAGTCAGTAACACAACTGTTAAGTGAATCTGACTTCCCCATTGACTTTGCTTGTCAGAAGATCACAAAATGTGTTTGCATGACCCTGGGACACTGCAACCATCGTAAATACAGATCAGTTGCCAAGTGTCTGGATTTTGATCATGTGACCATGCAACAGTCATAAGTGTGAAAGACATAAGTCACTTTTTTCAGTGCCGTTGTAACTTTGAATGGACATTAAATGAATGGTTGTAAGTTGAAGACTACCTATACTGAAAGAACATCCCACTAGTTGTCTTCTGTAACTGATCTCACTCAATATGCTATACAGTTAATAAATAGGAAAAGCCATTCCCAAATGGCAGCCATGTTATGAGAGTGCACTAGTCCCAAAAGAAAGAGACCCCCTATTCTGATTTATCAGAAGCCTAAAACGAATGATGAATTTTATTTTTAATACTTATTTTTTCATAGCCTTACTGAAACTATCTTTCCTTAGTCTCAATATCTGCTATGGCTAAACTGCACCCAAATTATTCATACAATATATACTTGTGGATAAGCCAAGAATTTCAGCTGCTTAAAATACATCTTAAAACTTGGGTCTGGCTTATCTGCAGATGGGCTTATCCTCAATTAAATACAGTTCCTCAGGTTTTTTTAAAGTAACTGGATAGCTCATATATATTCATAGATAAGCCCCATCTGATAAGCAGACCCTTGAATTTTTAATCAATATCACTTATTTGTATTTCTGAAGCACACATGCAAAGTAATTAATTGCTATAACAATTAAGGTAAAACAGAAATTAACTTGTATCATAATGTTTAAACAACTTAAAGTTACTTGACAAGTTGATATACAGTCCTAAAGCCCTGGACTGTGGCCTATTCGGAACCAGGCCACACGAGCAGTGGGCTGGCTTGTCTGCACACGTGTGTGCAGCTCAACTTGCTCAAGTCAAGCTGCGTGTACATGCACATGCGTGCCGGTCCGCTGCTCACACATGAGCTGCGCACATGTGTGTCAACTGGTCTGCCACTCATGTGGGCTGGTTCCTCTCTCCCCCTCCCCCACTGGGCCGCCAAACTGCAAACGTTGGGGACCGCTGCTATATTGGACAGTACTTATCCTGTAGCTTTATCAATATTTTATTATAAGTTTGTTTCTTGATTAAATTCAGACACACACCAAAACTCTCCATCACAAGCTGCTTTTTTGCAAAGATAGAAAGAAGTGAACCAAGAAAATATTATGATCTGTATTTTAAAGACTTAGTTGAAAGTAAAAGAGCACAAATGCACTTGGCAAGCACCCATTTTCATCTTGAGCAAAAAAAAAAAAGTTTTCAGAGTGGTTACATACATTTCTCACAATCATCATCATCATCATCATTATCTCATACAACTCACATAATAATTATGCCAAGATTTTTCTTACCTCCATTCTACAGGAACAGACAGGCGATCCATTGAAACAAACAGTTGAGTTGGGGAAAGACAAGGAAATTGTCAGGACAATTTGCATTGTACTAAAAAAATCTATTAATATATTTATGGATACAAATAAGTTTGAAAGTACTTGATCACATTTTCCTTTTAGTTAGTAGCTGTCAGAAAACATATACTGCAAATGCAGTTCAAAAGGATAATGTGATAAAATAGCCACACACAAAAAAACAAATGAGACTCCACTGGAGCAGAAATGCAGAAAATTAATTATCCTAGTGGTTAAAGCTGGAAGAGAGCAAAATATGATAATGGGGAGGAAATATTTAAAATCTTTTTGAAGTATGGCATACATGAAAAGCTACCACATGGTTAAGATTTGCATGGAGGAATGGATTTCATTAAAGTGTCCCCAGTGTGGTAAGACTGCAAATCACCATTCCATCATCTTTTATGAGAGTGTCACATTAAAAAGAAATCAGACTAAGTTCATCCTGATTTTCCATCCTCAAAGAGTTATGTATATGGGTCCTGGTGAATAAAGAACATTTTGGAGTTCTGTTTTCCTTGGAGACCAACATACTACCAACATAAATATTATACTCAAGATGATGAAAGCTCACTGAACTATTTCCGCCTGGCCATTAGGGGATATTAATATAACACTTCATCACCCTTCCTTGCTTCCTTCCTCTGGATGAATTTACAAAGTGGTCTTTAGGACAGTGTAATGAAGATGGCACCAAACATGTCGGTCTGCCAATATCTGAAATACTGTATATTATAAGGGGAAACAGCCAGGAACAAAATAAATTCTTAACGTTGTGTTTATCCTGGAGGAAATTACAAGGAAGTTAAAGCCTCTCACATTGTGTGCCTTTCACATTCTATGAGGTTCCTGAATACGACTAAAATCCTAGCCTAAAGTTAAATATCATCTAATCCTTCAAGAGAAGCTTTTTTTCCCCCTGATGCATACCTGAAACATTAATAGTCGCTGCAGCTTTTGCAGTGCCGTAAGTCTCACTGTGCTTGTTAGTGGCTATACAGGTGAATAAACCTGGCCGAGTGACATAAACCTGCAGCCGTGAATCAATCATTTTGTCTTCTACTGTTTCTACAATGGATCCAGCTGACACCTAAAGTAAAAAAAGAGAAATTGAGAAATTGAGAATGTCATCTCCTGCATAGTCCTGGAGATTGAACATTAAGCAGTTCATCTTGTAGACCAAATCATTGTGGTAATCCTCAATTATGATCACAACTGAGCCCAAATTTTTTCTTGCTAAGTGAGATAGTTGTTAAGTGAAATTTACCCTGTTTTATGACCTTTCTTGCCACAGTGGTTAAATGAATCACTGCAGTTGTTAAATTAGTAATGCGGTTGTTAAGTGAATCTGGCTTTCCCATTAACTTTGCTTGTCAGAAGGTCGCAAAAGGTGATCACATGACCCTGGGACACTGCGACCATCATAAATATGAATCAGTTCCCCAAGCATTTGAATTTTGATTATGTGACCAAGGGGATGCTGCAACGGTCGTAAATATGAAAAAATGGTCATAAGCCACTTTTTCAGTGCTGTTGTAATTGTGAACACTAAATGAACTGTTGTAAGTCAATGGACTTACAAGAGTTCCATTAAGAAACTATTTCAACAGCTGAGGGATTCATAAGGCAGTTCTATGAATACTCAATCAGAATTATTTTTGAGTAAATTCACGGGGACTGATAAGTGTGCATTGTTTCAGCCTGACTGTAATTAAAATAAAGCAAAATGGCCCATTTATTAAAGCATATATACTCATTGATGGTAGAATAGGAATCACAGTTATATATCTGTTTATTTTATGAAACCTATGTCCCAACACTTTGGTCTTTCAAGTTGAAAACAGCTTAACTGTCATGGTTCTGTAAAACCATTACTTGATAATACAATGTCTTGTCATGTTTAGGGAATTGTATAGGAAATCCAGGGCAATCACAATAAAAACTAACCTAGGAGAGAAGCAACTGAGAACTAAGGAGAAAGTTCCTAACAGTAAGAACAATTAACCAGTGGAACAAATTGCCTTCAGAAATTGTAGATGCCCCAACACTGGAGGCTTTTGAGAAAAGACTGAAATAGTATAGGTCTTCTGCAAGAGAAGGGAGTTGGACTAGATGACCTCCAATGTCCCTTCCAACTCTGTTACTGTTATCTTGGTCACCTTCAATAATTCCAATGCTCTTGTACTTTTTTCAAAATCGATAGAAAAAAAAAAGAATAGTTGTACATTGTTTTTTAGTGTATCAACCTCACTCCAAAACTATTATTACTGCCATAGACAAGGAGAACGAGCAACATCCAAAATTTGATTTAGTAGTTAAGCAGTGAGACATAAGTCCTAATCTGGCCTTTAGCACGGAAGGTACCTGGGTGACCCTCAGCCAGTCATGATCTCTCAGCTCCAGGAAGAAAGGAATGAAAAACCATTAAGAAAGCTCCACGGTCTTTCCCATATAGTCCCAGACTTAAGATTGACTTGAAAGCACACACACATCCACATACAACCATCACAACTCACAGATTTGCCAAATTTCATATGAGTTTGGTGATCTGACATGTAATGGCCAAAATCTAACAGGATTTCAAATGAGAACATCATCTCACAAGAAATCTGGAGGGCTTGAATTTTGGAGCCTGGAGACAATTATGTCAGGAATCTGAAATAGTGGTTGAACCTTAATGTGAAAGCTTATAACCAAAGAATCTTGGGAAACTGAATTAATCAAGAATCATAAAAGTTGTCTGTTTTGGATTTTTATCCCGCATAATGGAACTAAAATTCTCAAAGAGAGAACAACAAGTTGCTTAGCTTCATCCTAACCCTGACAGGATTACAAAAGATCTAATTTGTCTGAAATTTGTATTTTTTTCTAGATTCAGTGGGGCCAAGAGATACTGTTGCTTTTAAGATTAAACATAATGATTTAAACTTAAAATGTTTGCTGGTGTTGAATGTGCAACAAATGAACTAATGTGGAAACATTTTCTCTAAAAAAAATATCATTCCCTCAATACTTGACTGAATAAGGATAAAGTTGTAAAAGGGCCAATAATTTATCACTTCCGTTCAGTGATTTACTCTGACTAGCATGAATATCTGGATACATACACATGCACACACAGTCCTTTAATTACATATTAGAGTGTTGTAATTCCTGCATTAATAAGCGTTTCATGCTAAAATTTAAAAGAAAACAAATAGTTTGTGATTAAAAAATGCCAATTATGTCAGTTAAATCCCAAGACGATTGAGTTGGTTTTTCCACTTCTGCTGAAACATTTCACTTCATTCTGAGTAAAATATATAATCATCAAATATCTTCCTCTAGAAATCATTTGTGGATTTAGAGTGCCAAAATCATTCCTACTGGAGTGTAAAAGTAATTTCCTCGAGGCATGAACTCAGTTTTCCTTCAGTTCATCCAGGTGCTGTAATGTCCGAGCTAACGCATCAGATTAAATAATATTCCCAAGCGAAACTGCTTTCCCACATGGAATTAATAGATTTCTCTGCAAAGAGACCATTCATACACTTACAGCTGAGCAAATGTGTATTTTTATACTAGGGAGACAAGGGAGGAAGAAGGATTTTATTTCAGTAGGCTTTTGGATTCCAGAGCATGTGGGAGCGCATCTATTTATCTTAATTGGGAAGTTTTGTTGTTGTTTTTGTTGTTATTATTTTCATAACCTATTTTTTTTTATTACAAAAGTTTTACAATTACATTTTCACCCCATTTCCCCCCCATCCCAGCCCCCACGCCCCACCCTAACCCCCCCAACCCCCCCTAACCCTCCCCTCCTGACTTCCACAAAATATAATCCCATCAAAATCCCCTTTTTATAAAACTTGAACCCCTCAGACCCCCTTAAAAAAATTGTTTATCTTCACAGTTTTCATACATTTCTATTTTTATATAATACTTTCAATGAAAAACTATTTGGTACTTTCTAACTTGATATTTGTTCTGCACATAATCTATCCATTTTTTCCATTCCCATTCATAAGTCTCTTGTGAGCGATCTTTTAAATATGCTGAAATCTTCGCCATCTCGGCAAAACTGGCCATCTTCAAAGTCCATTCTTCGATAGTGGGTAAAGCTTCATTTTTCCAATATATACCTATCAATAATCTCGCTGCAGTTATCATGTACAATATCAGCTTAATTTCATCCTGTGTAAAACCCTTTACTATACCCAATAAAAACAATTGTGGAGAAAAAGGAATTTTTTTCTTCAAAATATTCTGCATAACCCACCATATTTTTATCCAAAAAGCCTTAACTTTCTTACAATTCCACCAAACATGATAATATGTAGCATCTAAACAATCACATCTCCAACATTTTGGCTGAACATTAGGATACATACAGGATAATTTCTTGGGATCTAAATGCCATCTGTAAAACATCTTATAAAAATTTTCCCTCAAATTCTGCGATTGCGTAAATTTAACATTCTGAACCCATATTTTCTCCCATGTTTCCAACATTACTGGTTCTGCAAAATTCTGTGCCCATTTAATCATGCAATCTTTAACCAATTCAGTTTCTGAGTCCCTTTCTAACAAAACATTATATAGCCTTTTGATATGCATTGGACCTTTCTCTTTTATATGTCTAACCAACTCTTCCTCATGCAACGTAATACCAGTTTTTTGGTCCTCTTTCCATCTCAGTTGAAGTTAATTGTATTGTAACCAGGTTAAGTTAATCCCTTCGCCCAACAGTGTCTCTAATGTCTTCAGTTGCCATCTGCCTACATCTGTAAAAAGAACCTCTTTATATAAAAACCCCCCGAGTGACATTATATTTGTATTCCAAATAATATGACCAAGATCCAGCCACAACGGTATTTTATAATCCCATTTAATTCGGTGCTTCTTCCATACTCTCATCAGAGAATCTCTAAGTATATGACTTTTAAATACTTTATCCACTTTGTTTTCATAAAACAAGTAAGCGTGCCAACCAAATTCGAGATCAAAACTTTCTATATTCAATATTCCAGTCTTTTTCCTTCCAAACCAATCGCTTGCTTGAGTCAAAGCTGCTGCTTCATAATATAACTGTAGGTTTGGAAGTTTGAGACCTCCCCTTTCCAGAACATCTTGCATAATTTTCAATTTCACTCTCGTTTTTTTCTCGTTCCAGACAAACTTATTCACTCCAGTTTGCCACTCTTTCAGTTGTTTATCACTTTTAAGCACCGGAATCATTTGGAACAAAAAAAGAAATCTTGGCAAAATGTTCATCTTAACTGCTGATATTCTTCCAAGTAAAGAAAGCTGCAGTTTTTTCCATGTCTCCATATCTTTTTGTACCTCTCGCCACAACACCTCATAATTATTTTGAATCAGTTTCATATTAGATTCTGCAACCTGAACTCCTAGATATTTAACCTTTGAAACAATCTCAAAACCTGCCCTCTTTTCAAGTTCATGTTTTCGATCTTGTGTCATATTTTTGACTATCAGTTTAGTTTTTTTCTGGTTCAATCTAAATCCTGATACTGTACCATAAACTTTTATAATGTCTTTCATCAGGATTATTGATTCCACCGGCTGCGTTAGGGTAACAACCAGATCATCTGCAAATGCCCTTATTCTGTAGTCCTCTTGCCTTATCACTATTCCTTTCAAGCTGGTCGAATCCCTTATTGTATTCAACAAGACTTCTAATGTTAAAATAAATAACAAAGGGGATAACGGACAACCTTGTCTTGTACCTTTTTCAATTTTAAAGTCTGTTGTCAAACTTCCATTAATGATAATCTGTGCCTTTTGCTCTTGGTAAATTGCTGAAACCGCCAGTATAAATTGATCCCCAAAATCCATTTTTTCCAAAGTCTTTAATAGAAAATTCCAATCCACTCTATCAAAGGCTTTCTCCGCATCCAAAAAGGCCAGCACTGCAGGGATCTGTTTATTCTTCTCAAGATATTCCAATAAATCTATCACTTGCCTTACATTGTCCTTCATGTATCTACCCTCTATAAATCCCGCTTGATCATCATGAATCACCTCTTTAATTACTGGCATCAACCTGTTGGCTAATACTTTTGCATAAATTTTGTAGTCATTATTCAGAAG